CACATTGTTCGGCACCGCGACGGCGAGCCGCCGCGAGCCCACCGGAGAGCTGGGAGCCGCGGCACTGGACTGCGCCGCCAGCGAGGCGAGAGCAGCAGCCGACCGGCCGTGACATGGCAGGAGGCCGGGATTTCCTCAAGGCTCATGTAATATTTCACCGCTCTTTATACTCGTTTATTCACGAGGCGACCCCAGGGGAACCTGGGCCCGCTTGTAGAACCCACAGCGCGATCTGCGCCCCAGAGCGTTTTCGCCTCTCCCGGCCGCCCGTGAGCGCCCCCCGCGTGCATCTACTGGCTGAAAACGCGTCGTGGACCAGCTCTCATACCCTCCCGCCCGGCCCCGGCGGCAGGTGGCGTCGCGCCGTCTGAAGCACCGCCCGCGGTGGTGCTGGTATTCGAATGACAGCGTGACTGCGCTAGGCGGAGCCCGCGCTTCTCCTCCCTGCTCGATGTGTCGCTCAAAACTGCGCAGCCCTAGCGAGTAGGTACCGATGCGCCAGCATGCCGCGGGGCGACGAACAGCTCCGCTCGGAAAGTCCGCTGGTGAGGCACCTCCCTCGCTCACGAGTCGCCTCGCCGCTCGAGTGGCACCTCCAGCAGGCTCAGCGGCGTGCGCGCCGGCCGCGAGGGCCGCCATGGCCGCGTCCGGATCGGTGGCGACCGCCGCGCCCGCGGGAGTGAGCGCGACCGACCTCGACGCCGCCGAGGCTCAGCCTGCGAGGCGTCGCAGCGGCGCTGCCCGCCGCGCCTGCAGCAGAAGGAGCGCCACGCTTGCTCGCGCGCGGCGACGACCGGCACCGCGCCGCTCGTTCGACGGCGACGGCACGCTCGGCGGTGCGTACCCGCGCGTCCGGGCGGCGGGTTCGGTGGATGTGCACGCGCCGGCGGGCGGCGGCGCCGAGGCTGCTGCCGCCATGGCAGCGCTGTGGCGGCGGCGAGGGCGACCGGCCGAAGGCGCGCCGCACACACGCGTGCTCGCTCCCTTACTCACGGCGACGGCACGCGCGGCGGTGCGTACTCGCGCGTCCGGGCGGCGGGCTCGGTGGCGTCTGTGATCTGTAATGTGCGTGTGAGGGCCCGTTGTGGGTAGTTATGAGCGCGTGTTTGAGCTTGAAGACCCGAGATAAGTGCGGTTTCAGACACCTCAGGCTTGCTACTGATGGGCCTGGGCCAGGAGAGCGACAGAAAAGGCGAGGAGACGGGTTTTTTTTCTTTTTTCCGCGGACACCGCACGTCCGTTTCGCCCAAGCACCACGCCGGCGGGCGGACGGTTCGCAGGCGTACGCGCGTGTCAAAGCGATGTCGTTGGAGGAGGTGGAGGCGTCCGTCGCCTCACGCACCGCCCTTGAGGCGGAGCTCCTCGAGGCATCTGACGGACGCCGCGAAGTAATCCTATGGAGGCGCCTCCGCGACGCCATTGCCAAGCTCCCAGCCGCACAGTGCCGCCGCGGCCGCGAGATCAAGACGCCGGGTGAGATCGCTGACGGGCTGCTCGGCCTCTCGAACGACATGCTCCTCGACGGCCTCCACTCGTCGCAGGAGCTGCTCTCCTTGATGATTGAGCACGGAGGCTTCGGAGAGCCGGCAGTGCGAGTCGAGTTCCTTTGCTGCTCGTCCGCGTCTGTCCGAGCTGCCGTTGCCAAACCGCCCAAACGCGTACGTTTCGACACGAGTGGTCCCGATCGAGCACTCGTCGAGCGAGTTTCCAACGAGCTTGCTGCCGAGATGGAGGCAAGCTCGACCGCGACAGGCGGCCACTGCAGCGCTAGCTCCACAGTGGCAGACGGCCACTGCGCCACTCCGCTGTTTGCCGCGTGCGTGAGCGGTCACTACGCCATTGCCCGTCTTCTCCTCCGCCTCGAGTGCGGCGCGCGCGAGGCAGAGGAGGCGGAGGCGCGCGAGGCCGCAGTCCACGAGGTGGCGTCACCTCCGCCATCACCTGCGGCTGAGAGCGACGAGGAGATGGAGAAGGAGGAGGAGGAGGAGGAGGAGGAGGAGGAGGAGGGCGATGGGCGGGGAGAGGGCTGCGGAGACGAGGCGGGCAAAACTGCCGTGCCGTCCTCATACGGCACCTGGCAGCTGGCCCAACTGCAAGAGGAGCGTCGCGCCGAGCGTCGCGCTGAGCGTGCGAGGCAGCATGGAGAAGCCCCGCCTCGGGAGGGCATCACCACCGCCTACCTAACGCAGCTGTTCTACTCGCCGCGCTTCTCCTTCCTATCCTCCACAGTGCGCTTCGAGCAGTTGGCTGCTGTCGCGTCGCACGCGGCAGAGACTGCTTGCTTGACGCCCGGTGGTGCTGCCCGCTCTCCAACGACGGTTCCGCCGGCTCGTTTCGCCACGTCGTCGTGCCGCGGTGCGGCCGCGGCGAGCTGTCAAGCACGCATCTTCGCCTCCGCCTGCCCGACGACCGCGGCTTGTACGATTCCCTCGAACTCACACCCTTTGATGGCACGGTCACCCACGCGGTCCTGCTGGCACCCACAGCAGTCAACCTGTCCGAGGCGCCAACGATGCTAACGCACCAGTCCGAGGCCGAGATGCTCCAACACGCCATTCACGAGGAGTGGGCCGGGACCATGCAGCTCCTCATCTTCGACCACGGCGCGCTCGACAACGTGTCGACGCGCGTCTTGCCGCGGCGGCCGCGCAGGTTTGGGCGGCGGCCGGCCGGCGCGCCTCCAGGCACCTTTGAGGAGGGCCCGGCCGAGGGCCTCCTCTCGTACAGCAAGCGCGTGCACTGGCCGCAGTGGACCGACGACAAGTCCGAGCTTCGAGTCGACCACGTCTTCCCCACCGCGCCGGTCGCCGAGGACTCCCTCTCCTCAGAAGGGCAGGCGGCCGTCGTCATCGAGGAGGGGCTGCGGCACAACCAAACGTACCCCGGCTACTTCAACCGGCTACCAGAGGGCGACGGCCATCGAATCTGTCATCAGGGCGACGTTGGCACGGAGAAGGTCACGCTCGGCCTGTTGCGGCGCGCTCGGCAGGCCCTATACCGTGCTACCCTCGACGTGCGCGACCCTCGCTCGGCAAAGTTCGAGAGCGAGCAAGCTGCGCGCGCTGCCGTCCGCTTCTTCTCCATGCTGGCCGTGCCAGACCACCTCCACGCGCCGCTGCACAACGGCATGGCGCTCGTGAAGGGCTTCTTCATACCGCACTGGAAGGTTGCGTCGCTAGATCAGATCAAGGTTCTCCTCGGTCTGTCTGGCATCCGCCCGTCCAAGGAGGGGGAGTCCTACCGGCCAAAGCGGCGGCTGCTGAGGGTGTACATGCTCGCGTACAACAAGATGCTGATCCGACGCTTCCACACCGACCCAGAGTACGTGCCGCCCTGCCACGAGCAGTAGTGACACCATGGCAATCTCTCTCGAGCACATCGCAGTTAAACCTCGGCAATGTCTCGGCTACATATCTCGGTGATATCTCGGCCGCAACTCCTCGGCTATATCATGGCTATATCTCGGCTTTGCGTGTCGGCGCTGGACGAGCACAGCGGGTGCCCTTGGCGCCTCTGGCTGGAGGGCCGGTCGGCGGGCGTCGGCGAGCGCTCCGGAGCGTGTGGTGGCACCCGTATCGCGATGGATGGGCCACACGAGCCGCACGGCCGTTCGTGCAGGCTTGCTCCAGTCGACGTCAGCAGCGACGCCGGCCTCGCTCATGTCCGGCACGCACGGCCCCGCAAAGGGCGGAGGGCGGCAGCGGCTATGTCTCCCTCCTCGACCCGGCGGCACGGCGCGCGGGCGTGGACCTCTCGACCCCTCGGTCGACGCTCTTTGCTCATTTCTGCCCGCGTCAAGACCGCTTCTCCCTCGCCGCCGCCCGCCGCACCTTGGGTGCTTCGCATGGCGATGTCACAGCGGTGCTGGACGAGCACGGCGGGTGCCCTTTGCGACTCTGGCTGGAGGGCCGGTCGGCGGGCGTCGGCTAGCGCTCCGGAGCGTGTGGTGGCACCCAAATCGCGATGGATGGGCCACACGAGCCGCACGGCCGTTCGTGCAGGCTTGCTCCAGTCGACGTCAGCAGCGACGCCGGCCTCGCTCATGTCCGGCACGCACGGCCCCGCAAAGGGCGGAGGGCGGCAGCGGCTATGTCTCCCTCCTCGACCCGGCGGCACGGCGCGCGGGCGTGGACCTCTTGACCCCTCGGTCGACGCTCTTTGCTCATTTCTGCCCGCGTCAAGACCGCTTCTCCCTCGCCGCCGCCCGCCGCACCTTGGGTGCTTCGCATGGCGATGTCACAGCGGTGCTGGACGAGCACGGCGGGTGCCCTTTGCGACTCTGGCTGGAGGGCCGGTCGGCGGGCGTCGGCTAGCGCTCCGGAGCGTGTGGTGGCACCCAAATCGCGATGGATGGGCCACACGAGCCGCACGGCCGTTCGTGCAGGCTTGCTCTAGTCGACGTCAGCAGCGACGCCGGCCTCGCTCATGTCCGGCACGCACGGCCCCGCAAAGGGCGGAGGGCGGCAGCGGCTATGTCTCCCTCCTCGACCCGGCGGCACGGCGCGCGGGCGTGGACCTCTTGACCCCTCGGTCGACGCTCTTTGCTCATTTCTGCCCGCGTCAAGACCGCTTCTCCCTCGCCGCCGCCCGCCGCACCTTGGGTGCTTCGCATGGCGATGTCACAGCGGTGCTGGACGAGCACGGCGGGTGCCCTTTGCGACTCTGGCTGGAGGGCCGGTCGGCGGGCGTCGGCTAGCGCTCCGGAGCGTGTGGTGGCACCCAAATCGCGATGGATGGGCCACACGAGCCGCACGGCCGTTCGTGCAGGCTTGCTCCAGTCGACGTCAGCAGCGACGCCGGCCTCGCTCATGTGCGTAGTACGTGGGGCGTAGCGCGCCTTGAGAGGCACACCCCGATCGGCCGAAGGTGGATGCAGAAGACAGATTCGTAATACGCAAGACATTTGTAGCTCCCTCAGGCGCCACTTGGCTCGGGCACGACACCGAAATACGCGACGTCTGGCCGACGCACTATGGATCGCGGGCGCGTATTTACATAACATGGCCGATCTGTGCATTCTGGGCGATTACATATGCGTAGCAGTACTGACGACCTCCCCACCGGCATCCAGCAGCTGCGTATCGGAGCACGGGGCAGCGGGCAGCTCAGCGGCACATAAGGCACCCGCCGCGGGCTGTGTGCACTCCAGCAGCTCAGCGGAGCCGGAGCACACGCCGCCAGCCACGCCGCCAGCCACTCCGCCAGCCACGCCGCGGCTCTCGGCTGTCTCGCCATCGGCGTCCTCCCCGTCCTCGCCTCCGCCACCGTCTTCGGCGGAGGTACCCTCCGGCGCCGGGCTGTCGGGTGACAGCAGCAGCGACGCCATAGAAATCAGCGACGGCGCTTAGCTTTTTTTTTCTCCACTTTCCATCCTGCAGGCTCACGTTGCAGTCGCTGTGCCGACAACCATCCCCTCTCGCAGACTCGTCGACCTCCCCGACGACGCACTGCACTGCAACTTCTTCCACCTAGACGACTCGACTCTCTTTGCGCTCGGCTGCACCTGCACGCGCCTCGCGACATATCTCGGTGACGCTGCCTCGCTCTGGCAGTCGCTGGCAGCCGCAAAGTGCGTCACGGCATGTGCCCCACTCTCTGCCCGCGAGACGCTCCTGCACCTTCGCGCGGTTGCTAAGCGTCTGCGACCGCACGCGCTTCAGCCGCCTCCGGTCGCCGCTCAGCGCCTGCGTCGTTTTGCCGATCCGGCAGCAGAGGCGCTGGCCGGCGTGGAGGCGGTGCGGCTCGGGACGATCAGCGCGCGCGACCGAGAGTGGCTGCGCTGGTTCGGCCGCTTCGAGGACGGCAAGCTTGTCCCGACGACAGGTCGGAACGGCGAGTGGTCCCTGCAGCTGATCGACGGCGCCGGCAGCTGCATCGCTTCGGCGTTGCCTTCCCGGCGGAACTCTCCCGGCCAAGCAGCGGAGACTTTTCGCATAGTGGCTGCCGGCGGCGGCGGCGGCGGCAGTGGCGGCGGCGGCAGCGGTGGCGGTAGCGGCGGCGGCGGCAGCGGCAGCGGCGGCGGCGGCAGTGGCGGCGGCGGCGGCGGCGGCGGTGGCGGTAGCGGCGGCGGCGGCGGCGGCGGCGGCGGCGGCGGAAGTTCTGGTGGCGGAGGCAGCGGTGGCGACGCTGGTGACGGCGAGGCGAGGCTGCTGCGAGCGGTGAGGGAGTTTCGGCACCGCTCGGCGCTGGTGGGCTGGCTGAGCGTGGTGGACGGCACCGGCCGTGAACAGCGTCTCTTCACAGCTCAGAGGTGTGAACAGGTGGGCTGGCTAAGCGTGGTGGACGGCACCGGCCGTGAACAGCGTCTCTTCACAGCTCAGAGGTGTGAACAGGTGGGCCGGCTGCGTTGGACGGCAGTCGCCGTGAACAGCGTCTCTTCACAGCTGATAGCTGTGAACAGGTGGGCCGGCTGAGCGTGGTGGACGGCAGTAGTCGTGAACGGCGTCTCTTCACAGCTGAGAGCTGTGAACAGGTGGGCCGGCTGAGCGTGGTGGACGGCAGTAGTCGTGAACAGCGTCTCTTCACAGCTGAGAGCTGTGAACAGGTGGGCCGGCTGAGCGTGGTGGACGGCAGTCGAGACGCGGGGCAGAAGCTGTGCCGCTACCTGCGCCGTCTCCCGCCGGCCGTGTGTCGCACCGGCCGTGAACAGCGTCTCTTCACAGCTCAGAGGCGTGAACAGGCGCCGTCTCCCACCGGCCGTGTGTCGCACCGGCCGTGAACAGCGTCTCTTCACAGCTCAGAGGCGTGAACAGGCGCCGTCTCCCGCCGGCCGTGTGTCGCACCGGCCGTGAACAGCGTCTCTTCACAGCTCAGAGGCGTGAACAGGCGCCGTCTCCCGCCGGCCGTGTGTCGCACCGGCCGTGAACAGCGTCTCTTCACAGCTCAGAGGCGTGAACAGGCGCCGTCTCCCGCCGGCCGTGTGTCGCACCGGCCGTGAACAGCGTCTCTTCACAGCTCAGAGGCGTGAACAGGCGCCGTCTCCCGCCGGCCGTGTGTCGCTCTCTCGATGAGCTGAGCACTGAGGTCAGCCGAGATCAGCCGAGATCGGCCGAGATCGGCCGAGATCAGCCGAGATCACCCGATGTCACGCGAGATCACGTGAGGTCACCCGAGGTCACCCCGAGATCACTCGAACACAGATTCGGTCAGCCGAGATCAGCCGAGATCAACCGAGATCGACCGAGATCAGCCGAGGTCAACGGAGAATCCAATCCTCGACCTCACGAGATCAGCCGAGGCTTAGCCGAGATCAGCCGAGATCAGCTGAGATCACCCGAGATCGGCCGAGATCACTGTGTCTCCCCTCCCTGCAAGGGCCTCGAGGATGGCGCGCTGCGCCGGACAGCGCGCGACGGCGACGGCATGCCGGCGGTGCTGTTGGCCGAGCAGGCGAGAGCAGCCGAGATCACCCGAGATCCGCCGAGCTTAGCCGAGAGGCAGCCGAGAGGCAGCCGAGAGGCAGCCGAGAGCAGCCGAGCTCGAGCAGTCGAGATCGGCCGAGATCACCCGAGATCATTCCATCGGGGAGGCCCTGAGATTGCGCGAAACGTGCGCGTGTGGTTCGAGAGAATTGT